AAATGGACCACAGGTTACCTTGTGGTGATTGTGGTCCACCAGTCCTCCAATCACATAGGCTTTCTTCTCATCAAGCTCTTTGAGAATGTCTGGGGAATCTGAGGTGAGATATACTAGGTCTTCTTTCTTTATTAGTTCACTATAGTGCTCTGTTCTAATTTGGATATCCTCAAAAAAAGGTAGTTAAAAATAAGTTACATTCAACTGATGAATTTCTGGCCTAGCTTTACAGACCCRAGATGAGAGCAGCAAAAATAAATCAGATATATGTGGTCATTCCACATTCCTCCTTCATGTTTAAATATGTATCACAGTGCAGATTAATTTTCTGCRTAAAAAATCCAGTACCTCCAGCACTGATTTGTAAAAATCAGCAGGAAATTTTCTGAAACCCCAAAAGAACTATACAAATCCTTAAGTTCTTGTGAATCCCTTCAAACTTATCCCTTATCATATTTCTCCTACAGATCCAAATAATTTTCAAGACCACTAAAAAAAGTAAGAAACCAGAAGTAAATATTTAGTTAATATTATTTGTTTGGCAAGAGAGGTTTATGCTGTGCTCTCATGAAGCAGCTATTGCAAMAGAACTGCTGAAAACAGGACTGCTTTTATTTATTCTAAGAACTCTTCCTTTGAAGTTGTTGGAATAGTGGCTTAACAGGGAGTTGCATGGAAAACCAACATGAGTTTGACCATAAGAGAAGCTACTTCTCAAGAACACTTCAGTGCTGAGAGGCAATGGGATGGAAGGAAAGGTCCACGTGAGAAAATCACATCAATCAATGGAAAGTCTTATTTTGGCTATGAGAAAAGGAGCACTGTAAAGACAGACAACTGCTGAAGGTGTCTCAATCAAGGAGTCCAGCTTAGTCTATCAAAAATGGAATTTGTTCAATAAAAACAAGTAAAAATGGATCTGTATGCAGTTTTTCAAGCCAAAAACAAATCTAGATTAAAGAGAAACAGTCTTCAGCTTATTTAAGTTARATCAATTAAAAGTACAAAAAGTTACACTTTTTTGAAATATGCTATTGCTCTCATGTATTAGAAAAACCCGTGTGGAAAAAATCATGTCCTTCACAACTAATAACAATATAGTTAACAACTACAGTAAAGACTATCTTTTTACAGAAATACTCAATTATTCACCTTCCAATTCACCCATCCTTTGTCATTTTCATTCATGTTGGTCTTCAACTGTCCCCCATGGCTGGTCAAGTAAAACTTCAAACACAACAAACAAGAGGTACAAAATACAGAAATGTTAATATGCCACAATCTGTTTCCTCCTTTTCCACCCTTAACTGCTGGCTAAAACTCTTAATATTTTTTAGATRGAAGCAGTACTAGGACCATATTCAGACAGTCAGTGATACATTTAAAAGGCAAATACGGACTTAAGAGTGACTTTTTAAAAAATCTGCCACAGGTAAAATGGAGAGTATCAACAGCATCTTAGTGGCAAGCCTGGATCTGGCACTCTTCATCTGCATGTACATATTGTTCCATATACAGGGATATCTTTATAACGTGGGTGTTACAACAGAATTAACTTTCTTATTCAAGAGGCAGCTTAAATATTTTTCTTCCTACTACAGTTCTTGTGTTTGGTACTCGGCAACTGTCAGTGCTCAGTTTGCTCAAACATACCTGCACAGGATGGAATGCCTTGCGGTTTTCTGCATAACATCTCTGAATCTGCTTGTGAAGCTTCTTAACATCCTGTACACAACACAATTTGTTTTTACTTAGTCCTTCATACAGACCATCATAAAATGCTTTATCATGAGCCAGTCAGAAGCTAAAGAGAGAAAAAGGAAGCTTTTAACTGGCAAAAGTGACTATTCAGAGAATGTGGATATCAGATCCTGAGAGAAAAAAACAGCCACAGTGAAGTGATTATGCTGACATGGAGACGCACATATGTCCCATCCAAGTGTACTCAGACACCTCTATGCATGTGCTTGATTATTCTAGGAGAAAAAAAAAAAAAGCCCAGGGATTTAATTAACATACAAAATTAATCTGAGGAATCAAGCTTATTTATCACTGTGACAATACTCAGTCTTTAACCCATGGGAAAATCCTGACAATATACATTTTATATTTAAGAAAATTAAAATATGCTTAGTTAATCAGAAGTTCCTTTTACCTTTAACACCATCAGGTTATCAAAGCTGCAGTCCACAATGAGGCGAAGCGTGCTAGGAACAACTTCCCTGCGCATGCACTTTCTGTCATTCCCCTCACCACTGGAATCCAATTTTGACTGACGTTCTAGTTTTCTCTTCTGGCGTTTTTCTTTTCGTTTCTGCCTAAGTAAACAAACAAATCAATCCTCAAAAAGTGCTGCCAAATCTGCTGAGGTAAAGTGTTATGCACACAAATGACTTCTAGGACCAAAGTGTCTGTCCTGTGACCCTGGCAGTTTAAACTCGCCCGTTGCCTTCATTTGTGCTACGCTGACAACCAACACAAAGCACACTCCCATCTTTGTGAAGGTCTGTAAACACCTACAACAACAGACATCTGACACGAATTCAATTAACTCAATACCAGGAGTCTCACCAATTTAAGGGTGCTCTGAGTCAGGTCTTGTAACAGAATTAACCAAAAAGATTGACAACATTACAGTATCAGAATGAGAATCAGAATGYGGATTTCACTGAACAGAATCCAAACTCTACTGTTTCACTGAACAGTTCTTCAAAAGGCTTCTGAGGTAATTTTTCCTTTCCCCATCCTCCTGATGGGAGCAGGCAGTTGGGAGATCAAATTTCAGAGACAGCAACAACCACTGTCTTGRGAAGGAGCACCCAGCAGTCAGTGAAATAAGAACAAACCACCATCGACTCATTGTAGACAGACTTTCTCTTAACACAATAAAACAGAAGCTCATCTTTCAAAACTATCCAACAATTAATAAGTCAGTGTAACTTAAAGCACAGCACTTCATGTGTCAAAAGTAGCTGCTTTTATTCAGTGTCTTTTGAAGATTCTCAAGTCTGACAGCACCAGGGAAARAGGCACAGCCCATTCAGAAAGGAACAAGGCCACACGTAATCTCTGCCTTCCGACAGGGGATACTTACCTTTACAGCCCCTTCAAGTGCAGACAAAGTAGCCTGGGGCTACTGCTTTAAACCTGGTGTGGGAGAAAACTGGTTCAACTGCCTTGATTTGCTGAAGAAATTCACAACCAAATTCTGCTGACATGTCATTATTATCAGYACTAAATGCTACAAGTGGACCTAGGCGAGCTATTTTGCACCTACCTCCGTAGATCTTTCTGTTCTTCCCACTGCTTCTGCCTCAATAGTTTCTTCCTTTGCCTCTTGGACAAGGACTCAAGGCATTCTTCCTTGCCTGAGCCTGGCTCCTGTTTCTCTACTGAATTGTCACTTGACTTCGCCTTTCCTTCCACATCAGGAGCTCCAGGGAGCAGGGCATTTTCCATTGGCACCTCTGGACTGTCCGTGGGTGTTCTGGACGACATTAGCTTTTGGCCGGTTTTCTGACTTGTTTCTCAGCACATGCTGAGTATTTTATTAAAAACAAGCTTTCTGCTCACCAGTTCTCTAGGAAACAAAGTAGCATGAGTGTCATTAACATGAAATTCAATTAGAACATCACTTGACACCTACTATAAATAAAGAAAAAGAGAAGCCATTTTTTCTAAAGCCTCTGCCAAAAGTAACATAGAAAATACTAGAGAGATTATAACCYATATTCAGACAGTCTAAAACTCTGCCTGCTAGATCTGCAGGTAGTCAATGGTTTCTGATTAACAACTCTGTGACAGAACAACAGCATAAAAGTTGGGAATCATACCGAATCAAATGTAAAAAAAAAAGAGCATTAGCAGTATGTGTACACAGCACAAAAAAATTGAAGATGTATTTTGCAATATAACTATGGCAGTATGTTAAAGTAATTTTAAAGTCACTAAAGCCATTTGACGGGGAAAAAAAGAACGAGCTGTACTCCTTCAAAATTAATTTTTATTTCTTCTGAAAACAAAAGACACTGGACAGTAACAGACAGCAGCCACTGTTAGTGGACAAACACAGCAAGTAAAAGAAGGAACAAATTAAACTATAACTCAGCAAAACACTCTCGGTTCAAATCAATTACAATTATAACCTCTCCTTTCCAGTGGCAAGCACCATTTTTCCAGACTAGCAGCTCCCCTGTGCTCGACATCCACGTAATTCCCCTAAGACAACTTCACCGGAGAACAYTGCATCTACAAGCGGCAGGAAACAGCAACCCCCTGGCTTCCTGCAGTGACAGGACACAGAAAACACACAGGACACCAGAAAACCAGMGGAGTTTTTGCTGGCGCGTCCCGATTTCCCTGAGGGCGTTCACACACCGAGCCCTGCGCGCACACGCGCGTACGTGTATACAGGCCCACCGACACATATACAGACACACATACACACGTGTATCTACACACAGACACGCGATAAGCCCCTCACGACTGCACAGGGCAGCCGCAAGCACCGGAGAGCCGTGTCGCGCCCTGCCGGCGGCCGCAGCCCCGAGCCGGGATCACCCCTGGGCGCCGCCATCTTCCCCCCCCGCCCCGCGCGCGGCCGCAACGTACCCGCGAGCCGCCCCACGCGCGCGGCCGCC